TCCTTCGGTTCTATTTTCAAAATATATATTATTTGAATTGGAGTACGATGATTCACATAGTAACTATATCACCGACGAAGAACTAGATATATTTCTTGTCTTAAAATTTTAAGAAAAAAATGAATGAAGAAAGTAAAAATAATTTCTATAAATATTATGAAAATGTATTAGAGGGAAATGGCATGAAATATTGTAATCCACATTTTAATTATATAAAATATAAATCTAGTTCTATCACTGAAAAAAAGGAAATTGTCCACCTACGGGCTTAACTGATGTCGCACTTAATAATTTATTAAAAAACAATTATCAGAATATGCTGTAAAGGAGAAAGAAAAGGAAAATAAAAAAGATTTCAAAAGAGAAAAAGAAAGAGAATTGATGATGATTTATTGAATCTTTTGCAGAAGTAAATTGAATTTCTTGTAAATAATATATATTTATAAGTTATTAAAAAAACTATGTGTTCATTTTATATCTTTCGTTGGTTGTGTGAACTTCTAACTAAAAAAATCATAAAAAATGGCAAGTGTTAGTGAAAATGAAATTGATAAAAATGATCATGTTGTAAGCAGTAATTTAAATTTGTTTCAACCAGTTCCTCAAAATTACACATTTTTAGAATTTAGACCTATTTATTTAAATCCCGAACCTGACGAACCTTATGCAAAAAAATTCGATTGTATAATGTCAAAATCCGAATATGGTTTAATGAGAACTGATGACTTTGATATGAGTGGTAGAATAAAATTAATGGCAGGCGGGACTTTATTTAATAATTTAAACATATGCGTTTATCCAAGACCTGTAACTAAAATGTGGTGTAATATAAATTTATATACTAATGATGTTTTTGTAAATAACATTACTAATCAGTATTAGAGGATTTCATATTTAAAAAATATTTTATGTACACCATATGAATCACGTGGCGATTTAGGCGATGTGAATCTAGGTATGTTGGATGGAAGTGGAGAAATGGATGAAAAAAATAAAATTAGGTCAAATACGACTGCAAAAGAGGAAGCTGATTTAAGTGGAAAAAATGCACTAGTAAAGCTTATAAATAATAAGACTTGCAAAATTATAGATCAACTTGATATGACTTTGATAAATGGATATGGTAAAACAACATGGATTACATCAGCTAGTGATTTGAAATTTCAATTTTCAAGAGCAGAAAAAACAAGTTATTTGATGGGATTAGCTGGTAATAATCCTCAAAATTACGATATTCATCTTAAATGTTTTAAGATAAATACTATAATGTTTAAACGAAATGAACAATTGAGTAGAGCCATAAATAATAAATTGATACAAGAAAATAAAGAGTGTCATTAATTTGTAAACAATATGAGAGTTGTTCCAAAAACTCTTAGTATTGGATCGCAAGCAATCAACTGTTATGATGTATTCACAGGGGGTTTACCATCAAGAGTTTTTATAGTTTCTCAAAAAACAACAAGATTTAATGGTTCATATCAACTCAATTGTCACTTATATAAATTATTCAATTTCTGTTATTGTTGTGCACGTACTAATCGTTCAGTAACACATGAGTATCGCGGACGAAAAGATGCATATTGGAATTTAAAGAAAATTTTAAATAAAAAAAATGAAAAATGAATTTTGATTACTCCCGATTTAAGTCTGAATGTGGAATTATCGGATTTGATTTATTTCCTAATCAAGATATTTTCACCGAAGTTTTATCGTGTCAGAATACAGGGGATTTTGGATTTGATATTAATTTAAAAACAACATTAACTGAAGCACATACGATGATAATTTTTGTAGAATTTAGAAATCAAATGAATTATGGATATAAAATTCCTATATATTTTAAATATCGATTTTAATTTTGTTTTTATTGTTGTGTATTCAACATGAGAAGAACAAAAAAATTATATAAATTAAAGAGAAAAAAAAATTTAAAAAGAAAAACTATAAAAGTAATTGCTATTGATTTTCCATTAAAAAAAACGAATTGTAAACGTTGATCCAGTAATAAATCCTAATTATTTATAATGGATGATAAAGAAAATGTAAATGAATGGGGAAAATAAGATATGGAAAATGAAGATAATAAAGAAAATGTGGAAAAAATTGTTAAAGAAGAAGAGAATTTAATTAAAGAAAAAAATAAATTTGATGAAGAAAAATTTGATTCTGTAAAAATCTGAAAATAATGATGATGAAGAAAATATTTTAAATGAAGAGGTTTTAAAAGCAATTGTGAATTTAGTTGAATTTTCAAAACAAACGAAAAAAAGTAAAAAAAAATGACATTATTCCAAGTTTAAAATTATTTATTTATTCTAGAGTAACATACCAACTAAGTCAAGGTTGTATTCATGCCTTTGTTTACAAATGGAAGATTGGCTTAACTGGTTTTGGGATGATAAATTTCGTGAAAACTTTGATTCCTTTTATCGATTCTTTAATGTGGATGATGCATTAAAGCGAGACAATTTGTATCATCAGTAAATTGGACTTTGAACTTTCCATATTATCATTTTAAAAAATTGGACTTTGGAGTTTCATCAATGTAATTATTTTGTATTGTATTTGAAATATATCTTTTTTTTTGTAATCTTCTTGCTTATATATTTTCTATTACTCTTATTCACTTTCCTAATATATATATGTATCTTATCACAGGCTCACCCTTCTCTATTTTTATGTTTACTACCGCTGACTGCCTCCAAAACGATCCCCCCGGTTTTTTTATTATAAAATATATTATGACTATTTTTAGACATAATACATTTTATAATAAAAGAACTTGAGCCTGCGATGATATATATATATATATATATATTAGTTAACTACTGACAAAAGGAACCAAACATATTAGCCATTCCTAAATTACATATTGCAAAAAGTTGATTGTTTAAACGTTGAATTTCAAGCTCAAGATTTCAAGCTGCACACTCTGTACAGTTATATATCAGATGAGTATAGAAGCATTTTAGCCCAGTTCATCAAAGACAAAGTAGTACGAGAAACACCGTTGGACGAGATTAATCCAAACGACGTAAAGATATACAAGCTTCTCAATGATATTCATCTCGGAGGAAGATGCGTAGGCCTGTGCACTCACCAGTCTTTGGTTAACCCCGAACAACGTTTCAGAAGCAATTTTAGTAACTTCCTCGTTAAGTTATATAATCAAAATAAAAAGAGGTTTTCTTTCAAAAGTGATTTAGCTCTAGCTTTGCTATCAGCTGCCAACCCTTCAAAGGCATTGTCCACCAGGCGATCGTTAAACTCGATGGCGGTATTAGCACACCATTTTCCATCTTTAGCGTTTAAAGATCAGTTGGATGAAATTGATGACCAGTGGAGGCAATTGTTATACGCCACAGATTTTTATAAAGGTATGGCTGACTCCCCAACTCAGATTTGGAATGAGATCAGAGTTATTAAAGATAGTAACGGAAATAAAAAGTTTGAACTTTTTAAAAATTTAATGGGCGACCATCTTGTTTTACTTCATTCATCAGAATTTTTTCCCAAGTTAGTATGATAAAGATTCCTCAAACCAATCGCCTGTACTGCTCAACTTTGAGAAACAGACTATTGCAAAACAAGCCATTTCTCGACAAGTTACACATTACATGTTTGTAAATGTAGATCGTCCAGGTTGGTATAGTCCTGAGAAGGACTGTTTTTGTTGTTGTTGACTGACGTTTCGACAACCTTAGCGGTAGTCATCTTCAGAGTCAAATGAAGCGGTAGTTAACTTCAGAGTCTTTATTTGACTCTGAAGATGACTGCCGCTAAGGTTGTCGAAACGTCAGCCAACAACAACAAAAACAATCCTTCTCAGGACTGTACCAACCTGGACGATCTACATTTACAAACATGTAACAATACTCCCGGGTTCAAACCATTTGCTTTAAGTTACACATTGCTACACATGGGAGCCGTCAACTAAACTTGTAAAAGACGTACAATTTGATCATTTGTCGGAGAGAATATTTTAATAAACATGATCAACGTCAGGAACAGGAAGAAAATGCAACTGATGTTTATGACATCATAAGCGAAGAGATTGTTGAAATAGGGTCTGGTTAGCATGTTTGACAATTTTATGTACTGTTATGTTTCACGAACGTTTCATGATCATGTAAAAAAATTGTATTTACTATCTTTTTTTATACAATTTTTGATTTAAAGTAATATCAAAATAAAAATGATGCGTTAATGGCGTACCAATGACAAAGGAGCTCCCCGGAAACGACTGTTTTGCTGTACCTGGGGGATTTTGGGATATTTTAAAGGATCTTGGGACTTTTATTCACAAAATCTTGGGAATTTCTAAAATAGTCAGTGGCAACACTGGTCTACAAGCTAAAAGCACGTGTAAATAGTAATTTCCTCATTCTGATGAAGGCTCGAAGCAACGAGTCGAAAGCTCAATAAAAATCATTTTATACAATCCGGAGAATCTTTTATTTTTATACAAACAATTTTGTGTATTTTTGTTTCTTTTTTCTTTAAGCGTTTGATTTCTATCACAGAACAAGGAATAAATGGTAGTGCCACTACAATGAAGCCTTTGTTGCTTTTTGATATTCGGGAATTAATTGTTTGGTTTTTCCTGTGTTCCCATGGGTGGTTTGTGATCCGATTTGAGAAAGATGTGTTGCGCATGTCATTGCGGTGTTCTGTACTCTATGCCATGTTTTGTACAGACGTTTTCCTTAAGTCATTGTATGTCGGTTCTCGATGAATGTTTTACTGGTATTGGGTTAATTATCACTATGTTTTAAATGCTTATGTTTTCGGGTTAGTTGTGCACAAACACAGATGAGGTATTTTGAAGAACTGTTTTTTCTAAACATTTTGAAATAAAATATTTTAGAGATGCTCCAGTTCAAGTGTTTTTAGGTTTTGTTCCAGTGGCTATGTCTATGCAGTTAAGAAGAATTCAGATTTCACACTTAAGCAAATGGAATACTTCTCCTATATTTTGTTCATTTACATGTTTGATTTCAGATCGCTCTTGTATACAAATCGTTTCTGTTAATTTATTTCTATTCAACACAGTCCTTGCACGCTCTTCTATAAAATAAAAATGATTATTACAATATTATGATACAAAATCAGTCGTCGTGGAAATATAAACGTCCTTGTCTAGTCTTCTCTTACATATATGCTCATTATGACAATTATTCTGAAAATTATATAAGAAATTATCATGGACGGATTTTCATATCTTTACAGGGGTAGTGCTAATAATTTTAGAAGGGTGAGCTGGTAAGAAATTGATGCAAGACAAAGTTAGGATCTAGATTTTAGTGGCAATCTGGAAGTATGGACACCAAAGGTAGTGTACATAGCTGAAACATTGCCCAGAGAATCTCAGTAAAAATGAACTACTGTTTATGTTGCTGAAAATAGAAGGCGTCAAAATGTTTCTTAGAGAGACGTGAACAATTTATTTAGCGGGATGAAATCTGATGTTTTAAGGGTATAGCACTCCCCTGCAACCTCCTGAAAATCCGTCCATGGAAATTATACGATTGTTGTATAACATTGAAAAATAGCTCAAATAAGTTACAATAATAGCTTAAAACCTTTTTCTTGTGATAACATAGAAATTCTTCGGACCATTTACAATTCCCAAATGTGGTCCATCTTCTGCAGGTCTTTCCGCTCCTTCAGGAAGCTCAAACTTGAGCTGTTGCAATAATGCTGCAGTAAACGTAAATAACATGATCTTTGCAAACGATATTCCGGCGCATTCTCTTCGACCTAAACCAAACGGCATAAATGCAGGATACTTTGTCCATCCAACAAATTTCCCATTTTCGTCTAAGAAACGCTCTGGCTTGAATTTATGTGGTTCCCGCCATTCTCGCTCATCCAAGTGAACCTCTGGTATATTGACCATGAGAGTAGTTCCTTTTGGAATATAATATCCTGCAAGTGTTACATCGTTTATTGTCACTGTAATTGCCCTTGACACTGGAGAGGTCTTGCGTAATACTTCACAAATGGTGGCTTGAAGATAAGGCATGTTGTCGGCGTCATCCATTCTCGGCAATTTGTCCTTCCCTAGTGCATGAACAATTTCTTCATGAATTTTTTGTGAAGTTTCAGGGTATAAAGTCATGTACAATATGAACCATGATAGTGAGGAAGAGGTTGTGTCCGAACCGGGAAAAGCGACGTCTATCATCAAAGCTTTGATATCTTCAATGGATCCAATATCTTTTTTATTTTCTTTGGCCGCTTCCTTTTTGTATGCTTCAATAAAACTATCAGCCATATCGCGGATAGTACCAGGTGTGTAAGTTTCTAAATGGGATTTTAAAACTGGTGAAAGTATCGAGAATTTTATATTTTGACCTCGTTTAACAAATTTGGAAAGCTTTGTTGGCAGATAGGAGTGAAACGGTATCATGCAGTAAGTTAAATAAATTGACGGAATCTTTCTTGCAACGAGATCACTAAACTCGAGGAGATTCATTATTACTGGATCATCCAAAGAAACTTTCTCGGCAGTGAGCCATTGCCTCAATTGAACCATTATAGCTGATCCAATAATTTCTTGGGGAGAGAATGGTTGATCTTTCAATGTTTTTATTTGCTCCAAAGTACATGTTACTGCATGAAGTCCTCTTGTGCTGCCTTGATACCTGCTCCAAACACGTGCATTGCTGACTTAAATACTCTTTTTCTGAACATGAATGCTGTTCCATATTCAGCAAAGACAACATCATTTGGTCCCAGTACTTTACATAAAGGAATATCTTGTTCTCTGCTTACAACATCGTTATTATACTCAATCTTTGCCTTTCTGGCAAGTGATGCAGTGTTCACAAATCCACACTTTGTGTGTAATTGTAATGTCATTATATCACCGTACGTCTTAGAAAGTTTATGAAATGGTTTTCCTGACTTGACATCCTGTTGTAACATATTACCAATGACTGGCAATGGAAACGGCCCAGGTGGCATTAATCTTCTTTCCAAGTATGTCGTTATTAAATACCAAGTTATCCAAACTAACAAGAACGTTGTTGTCAACTCCAGAATCATGATTTGAAATTCTGGGTAATCTATCATAAAATGTTTTGATGAGAGAAAACACGGCACGTAACTTTAAACCTAATATTTTGTATAAACACAAACACATTGATAAAATTTTATGCTGCATTTAGCACCCTATATTGTAGCGTAATATTTAATCCACCTATTGTTGGTTCTCATAGTGGATGCCCTCTCTTTGTTGGCTATTCCTTGAGACACACATGAAAACCAAGAATTATTGGAGAACAATTATTTATTTTATTTTGATTCTCGTTTTGATTTTGATTTGATTATTATGAAAAATTGCATGGTTTGTGTAGCTAGTAAAGCATTTGCCCAACATTAAGAGAAAATAAATATTTAATAAGACGTGTTGTATATTTAATAGTGCATTTCCACTTTCAATATAGCAACAATCGAATACGAAATGACCAAAAAGGATGTTCAAAAAAATAGCGATCTAATTCATGCCGTTTATTCATTTTGAAATGAGCGATAAAAACAACAATTGCACATAGTGAACAATCATTAGCGCGATGAATTTAACTGAAGGTTCGTTTTCTGCATTTAGCGTCTAGTTTTCGTGTGGTTGAACGCAACGTCTGTTTAGTCTGGCCCATATAAACAGATCATTATTCACCCTGGAAGATTTCTGTGGACAGACATCGTGGTAGACACGACTGCTTTAACAACACAATTCGATACGCTCCGTAGAAACGCTCTCTGATGTGTCAATCGAAACCATCTTAACCCGCTTGAGTTTTTGTACCCAAAAGAATTTAGGTATATTCAAGCAACATGCGAATCATACTAAAGGCTTGCCCTTACTCAATACGCTCCAATTTTGAATTTCATCAACTAATGCTAATTCTTAATATAAATATCAAAGCCCAGCAAAGTGCTTTTAAAAGAGCCATTTAATGCATAAAAAGAAATATTTAATTAGAATCGTAACGTTTGGTCTTGACTCTCAAGACATCATCAGACAGATGATGTCTTAAGAGTCGAGACGTTACGCTTCTAAATAAATATTTCTTGTTATGCATTAACTGGCTCTTTTAAAAGCACTTTGCTGGGCTTTGATATTTATGAAGAATGTTTTTAAATTAAATGAAGATATGATCTTCGCACTTTGCTGGACAATTTAAGCAATCGTCTCAGGAACCTGAAAAAATCAGGTGACTCAACGGGATTCGAACACATGACCTCTGCGGTGCCGGTGCAGTGCTCTGACCAACTGAGCTATGAAGTCACACAGTGGTGAGCAGGTCAATATTGTTGGGCTCATGTTTTCTCGTGAAAGGAATGTCGTATGAATGTTTTATGCAGTGCGGTGTTTGAAATTAAATGAAGATATGATCTTCGCACTTTGCTGGACAATTTAAGCAATCGTCTCAGGAACCTGAAAAAATCAGGTGACTCAACGGGATTCGAACCCATGACCTCTGCGGTGCCGGTGCAGTGCTCTGAGCATGACCTCTGAGCATGCACTCTGAGCATGCACTCTGAGCATGAGCTCTGAGCATGAGCTCTGACCTCAGAGCACTGCACCGGCGCCGCAGAGGTCATGGGTTCGAATCCGTCAACTGATTTTCCTGAGACGATTGCTTGTCCAGCAAAGCGAAGATCATATCTATGTAATTTGATATTTATATTAAGAAATCGCTTTCCGCCCGGTATATCCCTGGCCACAATTCTGAACTAATGCTAAATTAAATATATGTTATCTATATGGCATTTGTATTTTTCTTATTGACCTTCGTATCACGTTACTTGCTATTTTTGTTTGTATCGCTCATTTGAAAGTAAAAAACACAGCATGAATTACGTGTCATGTGCATGAATTACGAACAATGGCTGTTTTATTCAACTTATCTTTTGCTCAATTGGCATTTGATTGTTGTTAATGAAATTAGAAACGCTTTATTAAATATAGAACTCGCCTGTTTCCTTTCACTTTTAATTAACGGCAAATGCTGTAAAGTCTAGTTTACATTAAGAGCATAATGACTCATGAAAACTGCTCATGTTAAACTGCTCATTCTGGCAAAAGTTGCATCAAGAATATCAAGATAATTTAATATTCATGAACCAAAATTTTTTACCTGAATAGATTCACTCACCGTTTTAATGTTGTTAATGCACCAAAGTCTTAGACAATATAGCTTTGAAGCAATTACGCAAAGGAAATAAAATTACAATCTCTACGACTCTGCCACGTCAAGGCCCACTCTGCCAAAATTATGGCGTATTTTTCCACTGCGCGTGCGTGATCAGTGCTGCCACTGTGTGTATGCACATTTCACCTACCAAACTTTATTTTCCTCCTACCTCCCGCTACCATGATTTTCCTTGTTTCCCCCTGCTTTTCCCTTACACAACAACATATCCTCTATTATATACCTACGTCGGGTCGGACCATTAAATTTTTTAGTTTGTTTTTAAAAAATGCATACAAAAAAAGATTCATTGAAAACTAAGAACACCTAGACGACAAAGTTAGAATTTGGCGTAGGAAGTAATGATATTCAAGTGGTGCAAATGACGCACTGAGTTTATGCTAAGTTGCTGATCTTCTATCGCCATATATGGTCACAAATTGTGCAAAAGAAAGATTCTGTTACAATCACTTGCTAAATGGTGAGAGCACAGGAAGAAAAGAGTATTTTGGGCAAAAATGAAGCTCGTTTTTAAACAATTTTCTTTTCTCCCTACAATCCCCCTACATTTTACAGTTTTCCCAGTAGGTTTTCCCTACCACCTACAAACCACTATCCTCCTACTGTATGGGGATTTCCCCTACTAGTGGCAGTACTGAGTGAGCTTGACTATGCTAGTTCAGTTGCTTGTCAGTCGAAATCGGTCAAACCAAACATAGTAATACAAAATTTAAACGAACCAGTTACACGACAGCAATTGGACTCCCTTATCGGTCCGTCCACCCCGCTTATCTGTCGAGATTATTCCAGGTCGTCCACTGATCTGGCTATTGACCAATGGACTATATGGTCAATATCATATATGTTAAAATCTACTGATCTCTTTACTAAGGTCGTATTTATATAAGTTTTCATGTATAAAACAGAATTTTGACTATGAAATCTAAACTATTACAGAACGGGAATTTAATGATCACAAAAAATTGTAGTCATTAAATTTGATAAATATTTTTTGAACTATAAACATCAGTCGCGTGACTGATTTGACATACCCTAGACCCGCCAATGGTGGCTAGGTGGTGGTATCATTGAGTTCTATAATAACTGGAGGGGAAACGTCAACAAAATTAGTATAAATTATTAGCGCGCGGCCGCGTGGTCAAAAACATGGCGGTAATGGCGGATTTTGGTGGTCAAAACTTCCACTTTAAACATTTTTTTCAATATTCACTCCCTCCTGATTTCTAATACTGTTTGTATGAACGAAAACAAGTGAGAAAAAAAACAATTACGATACCGACAGCATATCATGTGTGAAAATAATGCTTCAGCATTGCGTGAAAAACACAGTACGGACACACTTAAAAATAAAGAAAATCGACGGTAGAGAAACGCATATTTTGGATGTAACATTTAAGTTATTTTATGACATTTTAACCTTTTAAAAGTGAAAATCAAATGGCATTCTTTAGTAGACCTGTCAATCTCGTCAAACTTATACATTATTTCATGCTTCTGTGTGTTTACTGTTTCTAAACAGTTTGGTGCAACTATTTTTCTTGCTTCAAATAGATAAATCTGTGTAAAAATGCTTCTAAGGAAGCGAGAAAATGTTTGCTTCAGTCCTACGACATAAGTCAACTGAAAATTTACCATGGATAAGTATCATAAGTGTATTGTCATTACCTGATAAATCTACTGAAAACTCATAAAGAAAGTATGTTGAACTAGAAGAGCTACAAAAAAGAAAAAAATTCAAAACACCATGACACTGTTGCTTGGTAATTTTATTTTGTAAATAGCTTGCAGAATCTTGGATCTATTACTGAACAGAACTACATTAATTTTCCATTGAAATTACAAACTTGGAAACTAAAGTGCATTGGTTTCTCTGACAAAAGCACTGTCTATTGCTGCATGAAGGCAAAATAGTTATTTGACAGTGTAGGTGTTCAAAGAAATTTATCAAGTTCTATAGATATTATTGTGCATTACTTACAGTTTTTTGGAATTGTGTAATATATGTCATGAACAAGAATAATTTTCAAAAGTACTAACCCTTCGAGCACTACTACTCTTCTGTTTTGCTTAACCAACTTACAGCTACCAATACTAATTATTTATATGTACAAACTAACATTTAAGAATTAAATGATAAACAACTTGTTGAATCTTTGTATTTTACATCAAGCCTTTGAATTAGTTCCTTTTATCTCTTGGTAAAAAAATATTAATGAAAGACTTACAAATCAAGTTTCTCGAAAATAGTATTTTGTACAAAGAAACTAAATAATTGGAAAGGTCACATGTTGAAGACAGACTTTGCTTCTTTGACTAGGTTGCTGGACCATGAGCAAATTTAAATTTGTTTACAATTTGTTGAAAGAATTCTTTTTTATTGACTTGTACTAATTCTTCATAAGACACAAAGAATTTCTTTGCCATCTATTTTTGCTTCCTCTACATTCAACTTCATTGTAACCAATGCATCCGATGTGAATTTGTAGATCACCTGGAATCATACCAAGTATGGATTTAATGAGATGAGACAATAATATGTTCGGGTTCCTGCAATTTCCATTGAGTTCTATAAGACCTGGAGGGGAAACGTCAGCAAAATTACTATAAATTATCAGCGCGCGGCCGCGTGGTCAAAAACATGGCGGGTTTTGGTGGTCAAAGTCAGCGGAGAGACGCGGGCTCATGAAATAAAATTTTTGTCGCCCTCCCTGATTTGACCACCACAATTGCGAGTATAGAAAATATCAAAACTATTTATTTTCCTAACATAAACACTTTTTTAAAATTTTATTTATTAAACTGCCAACTTCTGTGGTTTGCGGATGCTGAAATAGCGACAGAAAAGGGAACATTTCTTGACTCCGGTAAGTAGCACAGTATTAGTTTTACTATTTTGTTTTTAACACGATACTTGAAGAGTGTTTCTACTACTAAGTTTTAATTTAAAGTTATTTTGGTCCAGTCTTGTTTGTTCTTCACTTAATCGCTCGCCAGACGTGTCGAAGCTGTCAATTTTTATCGAGTTTTGCATCCATCTTGTATCATGTTCAAGGCATCAAGCTAAACTCTCCTGATTTGAATTGAGTTTACCTCCCAAAAATGGGGCATAATTTGTTCATGTTTTTTTTGAAAAGATGAAGGGAAAGTTTACAACAGAGTTGTGTTGAAATTGAATGCAGTGCCATGCAAAATTAATGCGAACTATGGTATATGTTGTATAATAAAAATAACTATTAAACTGTTTGCCTGCTCAATTTGACTGAATGTATAGTGTAGACAATTATAATGGGTTTGGAAAGTTGGATTTATGCAAACAGTTTTAAAGTACTACTTAGCGTTTCTGTAAATGAAGTATTTATTGTTATAGTAAACTGGTTACTACTTCAAAACCAAGATAAAAGTAGTGTGTTGAGCAATGTGCTAAGATTTGTTGCATATTATGATTATATCATTAATATGCATGAAAAATTAAACATATTATTGTCTCATCTCATCAAATCCATACTTGTTATGATTCCAGGTGATCCACAAATTCACATCGGATGCATTGGTTACAATGAAGTTGGATGTAGAAGAAGCAAAAATAGATGGCAAAGAAATTCTTTGTGTCTTATGAAGAATTAGTAGAAATTTATAAAAAGAATTCTTTAAACAAATTGTAAACAAATTTAAATTTGCTCATGGTCAAGCAACCTAGTCAAAGAAGCAAAGTCTGTCTTCAACATGTGACCTTTCCAATTATTTAGTTTCTTTGTACAAAATACTATTTTCAAGAAACTTGATTTGTAAGTCTTTCATTAATATTTTTTTACCAAAAGATAAAAGGAACTAATTCAAAGGCTTGATGTAAAATACAAAGATTTAACAAGTTGTTTATCATTTAATTCCCAAATGTTAGTTTGTACATATAAATAATTAGTATTGGTAGCTGTAAGTTGTTTAAGCAAAACAGAAGAGTAGTAGTGCTCGAAGGGGTTAGCATTTTTGAAAAATTATATCTTGTTCATGACATATATTACTCAATTCCAAAAAACTGTAAGTAATGCACAATAATATCTATAGAACTTGATAAATTTCTTCACCTACACTGTCAAATAACTATTTTGCCTTCATGCAGCAATAGACAGAGTGTTTTTGTCAGAGAAACCAATGCACTTTAGTTTCCAAGATTGTAATTTCAATGGAAAATTAATGTAGTTCTGTTCAGTAATAGATCCAAGATTCTGCCAAGCTGTTTACAAAATACAAATTACCAAGCAACAGTGTCATGGTGTTTTGAATTTTTTTCTTTTTTGTAGCTCTTCTGGTTCAACATACTTTCTTTATGAGTTTTCAGTAGATTTATCAGGTAATGACAATACACTTATGATACTTATCCATGGTAAACTTTCAGTTGACTTATGTCGTAGGACTGAAGCAAACATTTTCTCGCTTCCTTAGAAGCATTTTTACACAGATTTATCTATTTGAAGCAAGAAAATTTGCACCAAACTGTTTACAAACAGTCAAACACACAAAAGCATGAAATAATGTATAAGTTTGACGAGATTGACAGGTCTAGTAAAGAATGCCGTTTGATTTTCACTTTTAAAAGGTTAAAATGTCATAAAATAACTTAAATGTTACATCCAAAATATGCGTTTCTCTACCGTCGATTTTCTTTACTTTGATGTGTGTGTGTACTGTGTTTTTCACGCCATGATGAAGCATTATTTTCACATGATATGCTGTCGGTATCGTAATTGTTTTTTTTTTCTCACTTGTTTTCGTTCATACAAACAGTATTAGAAATCAGGAGGGAGTGAATATTGAAAAAAACTTTTAAAGTGGAAGTTTTGACCACCAAAATCCGCCATTACCGCCATGTTTTTGACCACGAGGCCCAGGCCCCTTTGCCCCTCCAGGTCTTATAGAGCTCAATGGCAATTTCCCCTTTGGTGCAATGACATTACTTTATGTAATATTATATGAAATGAGTCGGCAAGATGTCGGCCAAACAAATTCTGTTGGCATCTTTGATATTGGAGCAACATTGTGGCGATATAGTAGCGAG